CTTAAACTCCCCTTTTGATTCATTTCATGGTGGGAAAATATCCTCAAGTATTTCTCTCAAAAAGGATATATGATTGGAGAATTTTCAGAACCCTGTACCCTTGAGAATGCCTTTTGTTTATCATGGGCTGCACACATATGAGACAGTCTAGCTAGGTATAAAATTCTTGGGTCACAAACGTTTCACTCCTCAAGACCTATAGACACTGCCCCATGGTCTGCAGGCCAGCTGCTGCTTCTTGATCTTTCATCTGTATGTGGTTTTCGCTCATCTTGGTGTTTCATAGGTTTTGCAAAGATATATGTCTAGGTGTTGGTGTCTTTTCCTTGATTAAAAAGTAAATAAAATCAGTGAGCCCTTTCTCTGTGCACATGTAGGTCTTTCTTTAGCTTAGGAATACTGTCGTGGGTTATTGTTTCTATTCCATTTGGCCTCTGCTGTAGTTCTCTCCCAATTATATGTCACCTCACTACTCTTCCACTGTATCCTTATCATTTTCCCTTTCATGGTTTCCGTGTCTCTACCTTTTTCCTTTAAATTTTGGGAGGACTTCTTCAATTTATTCTCTACATTCCTGAATCAGCGTTCTACAGTATCATTTTTTTTTTTACTGTTTCCAGAGTGGAGTTTAACTGTGCCACTGGGTTTTTAGGTTTTGTTTTTCCAGCTCTTCTTTCTCTCCTACGCCACCCTTTTTATGTCATCATATATGGCCATTTCAGATTAGCCTAGTCTCCCCTTATGGCTTTCTTCTCTTATTTCACAGAGGATATCTTGTTAGATTTTTTTTTTTTAAGTCTGCCATACTCATTTGGTTACATATTGTCTATGACTATTTTCGAGCTATGGCAACAGAATTTTGAATAGTTGTGATCAAGACCGTATGGCCTGCAAAACCTAAAATATTTACTTTTGGCACTTTGCAAAAAAAATTGCAGCTCCCTGTACGAGCATGACAGCTGGATTCCTGTTTGGCGCCAAGTGGGATGGTGGGGGGATGTATGCAGCTCCACCTCCAAGCCCTGGTTCTACCAGACTTTTCCTGGATTCAGTCTCTCCACAGAGGTGGTCTTCTGTCTCCTCTGCCTGATTTTCCCGCTCTCTCCATCAGTAACTTAGAAATGCAGGTTCAGATATCCACTGCAAACACTGTCCTTCCAGTCCCTATCCTTCCGGAAGCTTCCCCACAAGAAGGAGGCCACTGCCACCAGTGCCCCACCCACTTCCTGCCCACTTGTTTTCTGGTTGTCGTCTCTCTGCCATTTTCCCTTCTTTTAGGATCTTTCTGTTCATCAGACAAAGAACTGTGTCCGGAGGTAAAACCTGGACAGGTTTAGCTTGTTCTACCACCATCTGCCTTTAATTAATAGAGATTGCTCCCAGATTCCAGCATTGGGTCATCTATCAGTTTCGTTTTTGGCATCAGTGTGAATTTTCATTTTTTTCATTGTCTTTATAGCTATTTTGGAACAAAGCAAGGAGGGGCTACATGGGCGACTGCCAAGTAGATGCCATTTTGAAGAAGTCGAAGCTGCGCTTTAAAGCTGTGGCTTGTCCATCTTGAAGCAGTCTCTCTAGCTTTGTGTGTATTTGATAAAAGAAGAAAATACAGGAACATTTCCCTTATCCAGGGACCACTCGTCCAGTGACCTCAGTTCTCTGGCATACAACCAAAACAAAGAGTCCACAGCAGCCAGAGAGCTGCCGGTGTCTGCGTCCCGGGGGTTGTTCACTTTACCCAGAGGAGAGCATCGCAGCCTCTTACTCCAGGCCGTTTACCCGTGTTTTACGTACAGGCCAACACGCCCGGTCTTTCTGTTTCCTTTCAACTAAATTGGAAGCAGCAAATCTGAAGAGAGTAGGGGACATTTTACAGCAAGAAGCACACTGCCCTGACAAGAGTTTCTGGCTGACCCAAAGGAAAGGCAGGACCCCCACACAAAAAATACACCTACACCTGCGCAGCGGCTGGCTCCATTTCCCGTAGGGGCAGCCAGCCCGCGTTTCTCTGTGTGAGCCCACTCCCCTCTTCCCACACTCACCTGTCCAGCCTTCCCCTGCCGAGCTGGGTGCTCTGTGCAAGTCATGGGTGCAGAGACTCTGTCTCCTTCTGCCACAGCTGTAGTTGATCCAGACAGTGGTTTCTAACCCTGGCTGCACATTAGAATCACCTGGGGAACTTTATAAACCTGGACACTCGGGCTGTCCCTTAACCAATAACCAGAATGTCTTGGTGGGACTCAGGCATGGGTGTTTTTTACAGCTTCTGGCTAATTCCACTGCATGGTGCAGATTGGGAACAAGGGGATTAGGAGCTCAGACTCTGCAGCCAGACCACCTCATCTGTAAATGGGGCTGATGGGCAGGGTAGAGAGCCGCGCAGCGGGCCCCATTAGTGCCTTGAGTGGCTGCCCCCCCAGAGGTGCAGACTGGATATTATGGGGATGGCTATGATTCACAAGCAGGGTCTTGAGCCAAGCTAACTAGGCAGTGATGGGTGCCACACGTTCTAGTAGGATTCCTGTCTCAGGTGGATGCTCAGCTCTGAAAAGAAGAGCTGTAGATGTTACTGGGAGGGAGAGTGGAGAGAGGGAAGGGAGGAGGGGAGAGCTGGAGGTGCAGGGGTGGGTTGTCCCAGGACTCGGCTACCTTCCCTTCCGGCAGTGCAGAGTTTGCTTGGGGTGGGCACCGGGAACCTTTCTGATCTCCCGTTTCCTGGTCTTTAAGGGGTATTTGGTCCCTGCCTGATGGGGTTGCTGTGAGGCGCTAAGAGCTGACGTGCTTCGAGGCTCTCTCTCCCTGGCTGTCAACCTCAGGGCTGAGATGCAGGATGTGGCTGGACCCACGCAGAGGGGGCAGGGTGCAGATTTCCTCCTGACCAGAATGCAATACTGACGGGGCCAGTGACTTTCCTAAAAAATAACCAGAAGTGACGAGAGTGGATTGAAGGCTGTCCCTGGAATAACGTCACCCAGCACCACTCACATTCCAATTCGCTTCCCTAAGTGGAGACAGCAGGGTGGGGCGCCAGCCAGTGTACCCAGGACCACAGGACTTACGCACAACCTGGTGTAGCCACAGCCGTGGCTTTGCTGTGAGCGTCATCTGTCCCTGAGCTGGCAGAGATGTGGCTGAGAGCAGCGGTTCCCGACAGTGAAGTGCAGTGTGACGATGGTGGTGACTGCCATTTATCTGTGTGCTCAGGCGACCTCCCCTCAGCTTAACCTCTCGGACTTGGCCATGGTAGAGTGCAGGCCACTCTCTCTGGATAACCAGTCCCTGCATTCCACGAGCTGCTTCCTCCAGTGACCAGCCAGCCAGCCAGCCAGCTGGCAGGAGGGACTGGCTCTATAGCCTCTGGTGCCCGGAGCAGGGCATCCTGGGTTTGGGGGGACCAAGGGCTCAGACCCCAGGGGAGCAGGCAGGGGACTGTTTTTTCTCAATTCCTGAGACTGGTTTCTAACTAGGTGCCCCAGGAAGCTGGCTCAGGAGGCATTAGGGAGCTGCCAGTCTGTGATCCCAGGGCAGTGGGGTGGAGCTGTTTCGACTTTAATTGAGGCACCGTCAATGTATCTCAGACCCTTGAAGGAGGCAGCAACCTCCTATGGGGTGAGATGCTGACTTGGAGGTGATCTCTGACTATTTCCTGAGACCTCAGCCATGGGTTGCAGGGGGAGGGCGCTGCGAGGCCTGACTTCATGCTCTAGCTTTGTCCTGTGCTCCCATGCATATTGCTCCTTACCCCTAACTTGGCCTTGGTTTTCCACTCTGCAGAACGAGAGGCTGGCAGCTGCTCCTAGCCAGTCACTTATGTCTCTGTATGTGTGTCCCCTTCACCTTTTTAGTCTCCCGTCCCCACTCCTCACCGGGACATATACCCAGCCCGCAGTCCACGAGTTGCTGGGACGCAGGGTGCTCCTTATTCCCAGCTCTGAGCTTAACACCCTGCTCCCACCAAGGGGAATGTTGGTATTTACTGAGACACAGCATGAGCCCAGTGATTCTGACATCCCAGGCCTGCCTTCAAGACCCAGTCTCGGTGTTTGCTGTCTGGGATGCATTGGGCAGGTGGCCTCAGTTTTCGTAGCTGCAGAATGGGAATAGCACCCACACATCAAAGCATGGTTGTGAGAATTGAGCGCGAACCAGCATGTCAAGTAGTGGTGCAGGGCAGGCTGGAGTGGTTAATTGGGCCTCTGTGGACCTCAGGAGGATATTATACCCCGTCCAGAGAGCAGCAGGAGCTTGCAGGGAAAGAGTGTGATGGGCTGGGGTTTGGAGGTGTGCTTTTGGTGGGCTGCCACAGGCCACCCTCAGGAGAAGCAGGCCCGATTTCTGGCAGGCCCAGGATCCTCCACTCCCTGCCTGGCTCATACTCGGCCTGTGGGAAGCCCCGCAGTGATACCTGGCAGCCACAGGCCAGCCGCCCTGTCTCAGCAGTAGGGCCCATTAGAACTGAACTCGTCTGCGGGGGCATTTTACTTGCACACTCCAGTAGAGTGGACACCAAAGGGGTTTTCTAATACTTCATGGGCTGCTAATTTCCTCCGTGACCTCTTTTGTTGGGGCCTGACCCCAGCCAGAGGCTCCGCACCGTGAAAGCCAGCGCCTGACACAGACCCGGGGCGCGGGGTGACAATGAGGCCTCTATCGGCTTTAATCAGACTCCACTTGCGTCTTAAGAACGGGGGGAATTTGTGTGGCGCTCAGAAGCCCTGGGTGGCACAAAACGGGAGCCCCTAGAGTCCCTCACGGAGGCCAAGCGGGCTCTGTGTGGCAGCTAAAGGATTCATCAGACTGGAGGGGGTGGGTCCGGCAGGGGCCCTTTGTCCCAAGCGCCTCTTTAGAAGCCAGACCTGTCCTGAATGGCCGCCTGCTCAGCCTGGCCCATGGGTATCACAGGCCTCTGGGTATTTAGGGAGGCGGCCTCCCCACTTGCCCGCCAGCCTATTCAGCACCAGCCTAATTAGGTTTTGTCTGTGCTCTCCCCTCCCCTGCAGACTGCGATTCCTACTGCAAGGCCTCCAAAGGGAAGCTGAAGATTAACATGAAAAAGTACTGCAAGAAGGACTATGGTGAGTGAGGTGGGGCGGGGCCCCGTGGCCAGCGAGCAGCTGGGGTTGCGGTGCAAGTGGCCCTGTGTGGGTGATGAAGTCCTTGTGACCAAACAGGATCCGAGCTGGACAGATCCCACGCCCAGGATTTCTCATCTCTTCCATCCCAGTCCTTGGAGGCGAGGGGCATAAGGGCCACAGGGACTGGGTTTACACCCCAACCCTGCAGGGCAGCACCCAGGCCGGGGTGGGAGGTGGGGGGGTGTCCATTCTGCAAACATTCAACCTGAGACTCTGTTGCTCGAAGTGAGGTCCATGGTATGTTTAAAATGCAGATTCCTGAAGCTAGAGGGGCTGAGGTGGGTCAGGGAATCTGCCTTTTAAACAGCTCCCCGGTCATTCTGATACACCTGACGTTTCAACACAACCAATGGCAGGTGCGGGGCTGCCAGCCCTGGGAGCCACCTGCAGAGAAATCCTGTCACCTGAGCCCTCAGGCTCCCTAAACTGGGAAGGGCTGTCCTGTCCCCCTACACTCTGTGCACTGTTCTCCCTTCCCTGGGGACAGCGAGCCCCCTGCACCCGTCCTCTGTTGAGCTCCCCTTTCCCACCTCCTTGTGCTCTTGCTGAGAATCTCCTGAGCGAGCCCCTCACAGTGGGAGGTGAGGTCCCTAAGAGTGTTCTCACTGGCCAGACACCATGTGACACAGGGTCACAGCCTGGTTTGGTCCTGGGTCCTGGTGGCTAGGAGGCAGTTGGGGAGCCTGCAGGAGGAGGGGAAGCATTACTGGCCCATGGGCAGTTGTGTGCAAACAGCTGAGGGGCGCTTCAGAGCAGGACAAGCAAACAAGTCCCAGAGAATCATGCAGCCGTCCACTGGCAGAGCCAGAAGGCCCCTGTGTAGAGACTGAGGCATCTGCGTGGGCAGCCAAGGTCCGGGTCACCCAGCCAGGAAGTAATAACACAGCCTCGGGCTGGCCTTCCCACCGTGGGCCCTCTTCCTGACCTGCTAGGTCTGGCTGATTTGGGCTGGCATTGGTCTTCCGTCTTCCAGACCTGGCTCCAGCTGGATATGACCAGGTCTCACCTGTCCGCTCTCCAACTGGCCCCTCCAGGGCCTTGGTGGCCCTGCCCACTCCAGCCTCACTCTGGCTCCCTCTTCTGCCCAGTTTTCCAGGTCTGCCCTGGTCATGCTCCTCCCGTGGGACCTGGGGCAAGTCCAGCTACTTTCCTGAGCCCCAGTGTCCTTGTCTGTGACACAGAGGTGTCGCACCTACTGTGCATGCATGGAAAGCACCCAGCCCAGCCCCAGTGTCTAACAGGCTCCCAGTACAGTGACCTTTACCAGTTCACAGCGAGCTGGGTGGGCAGGGAGGAAGGAAGGACCAGAGATGGAAGACGGGGTGAGAGGTAAGGCCCCTGGATGAGGGGGCCTCACGGCACAGACCCCTGCACTGGCCCTGGAAGGCAGGCCCCATGGGGTCCTAACTAGGCCGGCTATCTGAACGGAATGTGAGGGTTTTTTTCTTTAATAAGGACAATGGTTGGGACCTTTTAGCAGAATGAAGTGAGTGATGAGGCCCAAAGGAACCCGAAGGAATCTTGAGAACTTCCGAAATGTTCTCATTTTACTGCGTGTGCACATACACGTGTGCTCACACACACACACCCCACTCTGCCGCCCTGGCGCACCCCCGCCATGGCCCCGGCCTCCCACAGGATGAGGCAGAGTCAATTCAGAAGGGGCCAGGCCATGCACATCCCTGTTCAGACCCCTCAGCCGTTCCACAGTAGGTTCCTGAAAGCCCTTAAAGTGTTTGCATCCTGTGGCAATGCAGAAACTTCCAGCTCCCTCTGGAAAGCAAACCTTGGTTTTGAAAACAAACTTTGAAGTGGTTTCAAGGTAAAGGATGCCCTGTCTGTGAGCCAGGGTGGCAGCCACAAGGAGAGGCCCCGGGTGGGGCCCTGGACCCCTGAAAGAAGTGCAAGTAGGAGTGTCCCTCCCACACCAGGAGCAGGCCTGGGCCGGCCCAGGGGGAGATGAGTGGGAGGAGGGTGAGAGGAGGGTGCTGGCCTGGGGATCGGCGAGTAGGTGAGGCCCCAGAACAGGCCAGGCAGGGAGGCCGGGGCCACATAACCTCTACTCCGACACCTGGCAGGGAGCCAGTTAGGAAGTAGGGTTCCTTCACCTACAGACAGCATGGGGATGGTCCAGAAGCTGCTAATTAGAACTTGGGTTTGCACCCCTGCTGGGTGATGAGCGGGCTCCTCCTCCAAGGCCAGCTGTTGCATAGCGAGGATTTGGGTCTCCATGGACCAGAGCAGTGGCTGGGGGAGGCGGGGCAAGAGGAATGCCTAGGGGCTGGCTGGGGGTGTGCGTGTCCTGCCCTGTGTTCTCGCGTGGCGTGCATGTTTGCCAGTGAGAGAGGGCCCAGCCTGGGTAGGGTTGGGGTGGGCACCAAGCAAGGCAAGAAGGCATTGGGGTGAGGGAGGGACTCAGGACCACACCCCTCCATGCTTCTCACATTTATCCGGAGAGAGCCCAGGAACAGGGAAGGGTGGTTGGTCCATTTCTCTTGTAGGGAAGGGAGCCCCAGAATCTGGACACAGATTCCTGATTTGCTCAGTGACTTTGGACAGGGATCCTCACCAGCCTGGGCCTCAGGGTCCTCATCTGTCAATGGAGGTGTGACCAAGGAGCCCTGACATCCTACTAGATCCAGATCATGGCTCCACCATGCCAGGTGCCATCTCCAAGGGCAGGGGTCCACAGTGACACTGTCATTGCAGTACCCCCCCCCCACCCCAGGGCCACCTCAGTCCTCTGTTGCCCTCTAGGGGAATCCAGCTCACCTTGCAAATGCTTGACAGCGCCTGCGAGAAGGCTAGTGTGGGCCAGTTGTTCACGGAGGACAGTTTTTATTATTTTCAAGTGTATTAGCAGTTCTGCCAGCTTCTCAGGAAACCCAGCCTTGGAGGCCCATCCTTTCCGTAAATGCTCTAAGTGAGTGTGTGACTGCGAGTGGGTGTGTGTTCACAGGGTCTACATCCTCTGTTCTGATACAGGGCACAGTCAGAGCGTCTCTGCTGGAGTCGCCCTCTCTGATGCTTGTTCTGGGAGCCGGGCTCCCCAGCCTCTGCCAGTAGCATGCAGGGGATCAGGATGACTGATGACACCTTGTTCCCAAGCATCTGTTGTGTGAAGGTGTCGGGCCAGCCCTGCCCAAGGGCTGGGTACCTCGGCTGATGTGGGAAACACCCCTGGAGCCTCCCCACTGGCATGGTGTGGAAGAGGCAGAGGAGGGCCTCACTCGCCCACTTCCCTGACCCGCCCTCACCCCACCCAGGCTGGGCCTCAGCTCAGCCGACCCCAGGCCCTGGCTCTCAGCCTCCCGACTTTCTCCCCTTCTCCCTTCCTTCCTCTTTACTCATCCTGGCCCTGTTCCTTCGGAGGAGCCAGTGCTCACTCACCTCCTCATGTTTGCACAATCTCCCGTCATCTCACACAGCTGCTGTGCACAGTCACTCCCATGCACATGTACATACATGCACACACATGCACACGAGCACACAGAGCACACATGCACACACAAAGCCCAACGGTGCATAGCCAAAGGAGTCCTGCTTATTTACGCACCTGTCCCTACCCCAAGTGCTTCCCTCCTTGTAAACTCGGTTGAGTGCCTGCTGGGTGGCCCATCCTGCTCTGGGTGCTGAGCTTACAGATATGGAGGAGACAGAAGCTTAGCCCCCAAGGAGCTTCCAGTCTAGGAGAGGTACAGACACAGATGAGGGCATAGGAGGCGGATGTGTGGCTGGGGTCCAGCCTGAGGTGGGCATAAGCAAGACAGCCTGCCCTCTGAACAGGGCGGGGAGGGAGGGCTTCCTGGAGGAGGGAGCCCCAGTAGCCAGTGTTCACTGGGCAAACCAGGGCTCTCAGGCAGAGGGAGAGATTCTCCAAGCACAGAAGTACAAACAGCTGGGGAAATGGAAGAAGAGTGTGGGGTGCTGGGTGCAGGTGGGGGCCAGGGAGAGGCTAGTGTGGGCCTCAGCAACCATATCCACAATCATGTCCAGAAACACTCTGACCCCACTGGGAGCCAGTTCAGCTCCTGCTGGCCCCAGGGGCTCCTGCCCACTCCCCGAGCCACTGCCTCGGGTGGCCCGTGTGTCGCTGCAGGCCTCTTCCTTCCCCCTGAGATTCAGACAGAGGGGAGACAGACAGTCACACTCTGGAAGGTGAGGTAATCTCACTTTTGCCAGTTCTTGGAAAAATTATCCATTCCCAGAAATGTTTATTAGTCACCCCTTTGTTGAAAGATGTTTTGGCACCACCAGATGGAAAAATCAAACGCCTTTCACAGGATGATTTGTCTCGAGTATTCCTCCTGAGATCCCACAGGGCCACTGCTGAGGAGACAGCTCAAGGGGGATTCTGTTGGCACCTGTGGGGAGAAGCTGGGTTTGTGGGGCTGTGTAAGTTCACATGTGCTTTCTTGGGGCCCCATGGCAGAGGTGGGCCTGGGGACCTAAGCGGAACCCCAATTTGTAGCGACACACCCGGGTGTGCCCTGGTACCTCCCAGGGCAGCGGACACCCAGGGAAGAGCCTCGGCAGGCCAGTGACTGTTGGTCCCCGGCAGGCCCTGGCCCGGGCAGCCCACAGCCTCGTTCTCACTCCTAGTGAGCTCTCCAAGGCTCCTGCGACGCAGGAATTAGTTTCGGTCGATGGGATCTCGAGGCTCAAGATGATGAAATAACATGCCCAAGATCAGGAGCCCCAAGGCCGAGGTCTCTCTACTCCCCCGTGCCAGGGCCTGTGGGCACACAATCCCTGAGGGCGCTCAAGAGCTGGTTCCTTCACAGGACCCTTGACTCTGAGCTCCTGATAAGCGTCAGGGGAGGCCACAGAGATCTCTTCATTGGAGTCACCGTGCTGTTGTGATTGTCACAGTGGTGGGGCTGTGGGAGGTGATGGAGCCGAGGTGACGGGTATCATAGTGGGGATGTCAGTGATGGTGG